GATCCGTCCTCCAATTTGATCGACTTCAATCGTTTAGTTTGGAAAAAGACGCCAGTTGATTGTGGTTTATCTTGGCACCAAATACCAAATCAAACCGAATACGAAATGGCAACCACGCTTCCGGCATTGTCATTTGCAAAATTTCAGTCTCAAAAGAGTCGTCTGATACTGGGGATTTGACTGTTTGATTGGGATGCAAAGACTGATATACTTTCATAGGTTCTGACTCGACTACAAACGCATCGCATACAGACACTTCATTCCCAATAGTGAATTGAGAACTGTCTACAGTCATGCTCGGATCATCGTGTTGCTCATTTAGCCTAGAAATAACGCGATCAGTCGTCAATGATGGGGTTTGCACCATGGACGATGTGGTGACCAATGGCCCAACCGCAGGTGAGGCAGGAATATGTGATCCAGCAGTGTTAAAAGGTGAAGATTGTGCAAAATGTGGTGTGGCTGCATCTCCATGCATAAACTGAGGCGATCCAAACACCATTGCAGGTGATTCAGCTGGAGATACACCTCCATCAAATCGCAGTTTACCTGGACTGGTAGATAAACCACCAACAGTGGCAAGTCCAGTGGTATTGCACGATGCACCATTTGTAGCGATAAATGCGGGCGACATGGGATTGTATTGCGGCGTGGTAAAGTTGCCATAAGGCGAAAATGTGTGTGGATGAAAAGAAGCTCCCGGTGAAGGTGCTACGGGTGAAGGTGCTACCGCTGATGTATCTGTATGCGATCGCAAAGGGTTGATTAAATCTTGAACAGGTTGCAATGCAGATGCCAAAAAAGAAGATCCTGCCCCTGGGGTGCTTGCACTACTAATGACAGGTAAAGTAGTCACAGAGGTAGATGAAGACGCAGCCAACGTCCAGCTAGGAGTCTTTACCGACACTGCAGATTTTGGTGTAGATATTGGTCGCTTTGTTTCAAAAAAATCAAAATCTTCATCAGTAACTCCATCACCCAATGCCAAATCAGTAAGTTCTCCCATATTTCCCAGTCCATCAAGACTGAGATCCATATCCAGATCGGTTTCTGGTTTTGGTATAGGAGAAACAAGTCTTGTATGTTGCTTAGCAAAAGGCTCAGACAATGCTAGTTTCGCTGCTTCCTCAACCAATGGACTGCTTTCCTTTTCCACAGTCATGGTAAGTCCAAGCACCTCAAACTAGATCCACTATAGCCAGAAGCTGTGATAAAAAAATCTGTCGATTGAATGGCTGGTGGAGTATCTGTATCTCCACCAAGGACATCAAGCGCATCATAGATTGCTTCCAAATCACCAACTTTAGATAAAGTGCTATCCAACAACTGAAACTGCTTCAACGAATTCGTATGTACATTGTATGCTTCCGACACATTTCCTGTCAAACGATCGCATTGAGAATTCAGAGATTCAGCCATGTCTAGAGTGTATTGCTCGCGCATGTCCGAGGAAACAAATATAGACTGCATGGCAACCTCCACCTTGACTAGGGGTGCATCTAAAAAAGTGCTCTTTAATGTAACTCAAGATCTTTTGACTCAAGA